CCCCCACACATATACTGTCGGATTTTTATGTGTGTTCAAGAGGAATTTGATCTGTGATTATCTTGATTTGTAATATTTTTTAGTTTGGGGGGGTCAGGATTATGTTGCTTATAAAAAAGTTGAAGACAATTTGACATAAGGTCTCACTGTGTTGCCCAAAAGTTCAAACACCTGAACTTTACCCAATTCCCAAGTTGTTCTTAGTTTTGTCACCACCCCAGTTCAAGATCTGTTTGTACATGTTAATAACATTGCCTTTATGATTACAGATCAGTTTTGCTGAATAAAAAGATCCTTGGCTCACATTTTATTCTCTAGATTATTTTAAATTTTATTCTGATGTAAAAAGTATTCTCATTCTTGATGATAACTGAATTTCTTACTCATTTATAAATGAGTTAAATTTGACATTTTTCTCTAAATTCTATTGATGTTAGATTTTTTTTTTTTTTTTTTTTTTTGGTAAACAGTGTGCTCTTTCAATGTGTACTTTGAAATCTTTTTTTTTTTTAATTTGTGGTTTTGGTCAAAGAGTGCAAAAACAACCCTGTTTGAAAAAAACAGACAAAGGACTTGAACAGAAATCTCTGAAGGTGTACAAAATGGCTAACAAGTGTATAGAAGGATGTATGATGTTATAAGTTATTTGGGAAATACATATCAAAGCTACAATGAGGTCAGGTGTGTTAGCACATGCGAGACCCTGGGTTCATCCTCAGCACCACATAAAAATAACATACCTGTAATCCCAGCTACTTGGGAGGCTGAGCCAGTATATATATATATATATATACACATACATACATACATATATGTGTGTGTGTGTGTATAGAGAGAGAGAGAGAGAGAGAGAGACCACACTGGGACAATTTGGTGAGGCCATCTCAAAACATACAGTGCTGAGGGTGGACCTTAGTGTCACAGTACTCCTGGTTTCAATCCCCAGTACCATACACACAAAGCCCTACAAGGAGACCCATCTTTATACACACCAGGATGGCTTATAAACAATATTTCAATTAGGAGGAATAGTTATTTCAAGACCTCTGTTGTCTAGCATAATGACCATAATAACAATGCAAACTGGCCTCCATCCCCCTTGTAGTACTGCGTATGGGCATTTCATCCCTCAGCTACATTCCCAGCCCTTTTAATTTATTTTGGTACAGGGTCTCACTAAGTTTCTGAAGCTGGCCTTGAACTTGTGATCTTCCTGCCTCATCTCCCAAATCACTTGGATTGCAGACTTGTTCCTGTGCCAGGCATTGGATATTATATTCTTTTTAATATTTATTTTTTAGTTTTCGGCGGATACAACATTTTTGATTGTATGTGGTGCTGAGGATCGAACCCGGGCAGGCGAGCGCGCTACTGCTTGATCCACATCGCCAGCCCTGGATATTATATTCTTGACAATTGCTTAGATTAGATTTTAAGTGTTCTCACCACTGTCATATATACAGTGGTCATATATACACTGTCATATATACACAAAAAAAGTTACATATGTTAGGTACTGCATACATTACTTAGCTTGATTTAGCCATTTCACATTGTTTGCATATTTCAAAATATGTTGTACATCTTACTTTTTTATTTGTCAAAAACTAAGAGAAAAAGTTTGAATTGCAAAATCTTTTTTTGTTGGAATAAAAAAATTGTTTTATTGCCATGTTTTTGCTTTGGTTTTCTGCTTTAGGAACTGCTGTTTTCTATCTGGTGTATATTATTTCTATTTTCTCCTACTTTACCTTCTGTTTTTCTTAAAGGAGTAAGTATGTTCCCTAATTATATACAGACATTTTTAGAAGGTTGTGTAGTTCTAGGAATTGTGGTGTGAACCGATTTTGTCATGTGAATGCTAAGAGAATACTTACACAAATCTAGATGTTTTATTTCTGTCACTTGACATGTCTTCTTAATGTAGTTAAGAGAGATGGTAAGGGGCTGGGGATATAGATCAGTGACTAGAGTTCTTGCCTATTACTCAGCACTACAAAAAAAAAAGAGGGGTGGTAAGTACAAAATATGAGAGCTAGCTGCTTGTGCAGTAGGGCATATCATTTTATAGTAATCCTTTTTTTTCTTTATAAAAGTAATCCTTTTTATAAGTAGAAGGAATATACTCTAAAATGATAAAATATATCATAATAAATAAACCAGCAATAGTTATTTATTGTCATTTACAAGTATTACGCACTTACATATAAGTGTATATCCTATACTATATGACAGGCAGCTCCGTAGATTTGTTTATAATGGCATTTGCACAAATGCATAAGTAAAGGGTTAGACCACTATATCAGCTCAGCTGTTATAATCTTATGGAACCACTGTCATATATACAGTTTATCACTGACTGAAATGCAACATATGACTACTTGAATGTTCAAAAAAGGCTAGGCTTACAAATTGTCTTTCAGAATTGGATCATCAGACATTTGAATGCATTGTTCTGAAGAGTAAGACCGTCAGACTGTAGAATTTTAGACTTGACTTTCTGATTCTTTTTAGAGATATAAGCTAAAGTATTCAAATGTGTCCTCAGTTGAACCCAGTAAAGTCTGTTCTGTTACAATATATGCAACCTCTGCAACATCAGTTAGTTTATACACTATTGTTAAATGGGAGAACTTTGTCAGTATAACATGGATACTATGTTGGTTTATATATAATTCTCCTTTGAACTAGACAGAGGGTTCTGAATAATGGGAATTGAATTTTATAATTCATCAAGGAACAAGAAACTTTCTGTTCATCTACTGCATAAGCAAATACCCTTTCACTGGTATTTTTGCTTTTCTTTGCTTTATTAAAGTTAAAATGATAATCTACATTGGGTGCTCTCTCCCCAGAGGTGTACAAGAACTCTTCCAAAATGGCAATGTGTATTTCCTTTTGTGCCCATCTTAATAGAATCCCTACTGGCTTAAGGCTTTACTGTTTAAGTCCTGTATGCCCTTGTTTCCACTTCATCATTTTTTAAATTATACCCTGAGGTAACATTCCAGCAACTCTTAGTACCTGAGGGTGAGGGTAGTGTCCAAGTTATCGCTGAAGGTCCCAATCAATGTTTTTGTTAGTGCTGTGGTTACAAATGTACAGGAGCCTTAAGTATTGTGCTCCAACATATTATATTCTATCCCCTGTAAGACACATTTTTTCCCCCAGAAGTCTTGTTATCTTTATCATTGTATCAGTGCAGGGTTTTCAAGAATCTATGTAACATTTGTGTTATAGCAGCTGTACTGAGAAACTACTTCATGGGAAACTAGAGCTTAGTGTAATTTAAACTTTGTTGCAATACTTCTGTTCTTAAAGGACTTTATAAAGACAATTCCTATATTTTCTGATAATGGAAATCCTATGTTTGAGATATGAGACTTCATGTTAATCATTTTAAAATACAGTAAAATAACAAATGGTAAAACATTGAAGAATTTTGTTATGGATTACTGAGGCATCATCATCATTTTTTTTTTTTTTTTGTAATGCCATATTGTTTTGATCGAGCAACCTAAAATTAAGATAAATTGCTGAGTAAAAGGAAAATTCCATATTGAATGATATTTGCAGTAAAATATTTTTCTTTTTTGACCCCAAAATGAAATTATAAATTTTACCATTAACAATACCAAGCTTATTTCAGAAATAATTCAACAATATTCAGCCTTCAGAAAGTATAGTAGGCTGGGCTTGATGGTACACACCTGTAATCCTAGGGAGCCAGAGACAAGAGAATGGCAAGTTCAAGGCCAGCCTCAGCAATTGAGTGAGACCTTATCTTAGGATGTATCTCAATGACAAGAGGGTTTCTGGGTTCAATCTCCAGTACCACAAGAAGAAAAAAGAAGAGAAAGAACATGCAAAGTAGTGTATTTTATTAGTTACTGTGTTATAAGAAAGCAGAGAAGTTCTGGGTATGGTGGCTCACATCTGTAATCCCAGTGGCTAGGGAGGCTGAGACAGGAGGATCACGAGTTCAAAGCCAGCCTCAGCAAAAGTGAGGAGTAAAGTAACTCAGTTAGAGTGTCTAAATAAAATGTAAAATATGGCTGGGGATGTGGCTCAGTGGTTGAGTGCCCCTGAGTTCAGTCCCCGGTCCCGCCACCCCCCCACCCCGCGCCAAAAAAGTAGAGAAGTTCTTCCAGTTATGAATGTTGATATGTATTAATTATATAGAATATGTAAATTTGAAATTCTAATCCTTATCAAATGATTTTAGGTAGTTAATTAAATCATCATGGGCAATATTACAATACAATGATTTGTTTAGTGGATGACTAGAAAAATTCTCAAAACAGAAAAAGATGTATAAATGGTGAAAAATAGGGGTGGAAGTGATTTAGCTGTTGATGCTTGCTTAGCAAGTGTACTGCCCTGAGTTTTATCCCCAGCACTGCAAAAACTAATAAATAAATGGAGAAAAATAAATCAGGCTAATGCTCAGAAGTATATTATTTAAGTCAATTATACTGCAAGCATACTATAAATTTGTCATGGGAACTTGCCTTAAATAAGATAACAGACATAGAGCTTCTTGCTAAGGAGTAGATTCCTTGGTGTTAATTTGGCCACTTAAATAATTGAGGTAAACAGTAGAGATGTGGTAGTCGCAGGCCATCAAGTTCAATGAGGCTCCCTCTCCTATCCTCCTATCTTTCCCAAGTGCTCAAGGAAATGATCTCTGTTCTTTAAAACAGTTCTAAAGATAAGGGGAAATTGGCTGAAAATTCAGAGCACACTGTACAGTTCATTATTTCCATAGCATGGAAAATTTAGGTGAGCCTTGAGAAAGGTTCTAATTATATTTGTGTACTCTAACTGCATTAATATTCTTAGAACACTCAAAATTTTTCCATTTTTGCTACTCTTTGCTATTAATTGCATTTTGTTTCTCCAGGATAAAGAATATTATACCATATTTTATCATTTTATAAGTATAACCTGTAAGAGAATAATTGTGCTCAGTGCATATTTTTTTCCTCTTATGTCTTAAGGAAGAGAGAGAAAATCCTTCAAAGCGGAGTAGAATTGAACGTGATATAGATAATAATTTGATCACATCATCACCAAGAACAGGAGAAAAGCCTAACAAACAGATATCTCGAGTAAGACGGAAAAGTCAAGTAAATGGAGGTTTGTTAATATTTAGATACTGTTTAATTTAGGTGTAAGCAGAGATCTTATTTGACATGTTCCTAGTCTGTTTTAAAAATCTACTTTGAGTAAATTTTTCCTTATTTTTGTGTTCAGTATTAGTAGCATGAAGTGAAATGAAAATATATCTTTCTAAAATATTTTACTTTGATGAATTAAATAAAGGCAGAATAATTAGCTTTATACTACTTAGCATAAAAAAAAGTATATGGATTGGGGTTGGAGATGTATCTTAGTGGTGAAGTGCTTGCCTAGCATGCCAGAGGCCCTGGGTTCAAGTCCCAGCATCAAAAAAAAAGAAAAAAAAAAGTGTATAAGAGTCAACATTAAAAAAAATTTTTTTTAGTTGCATGTGAACGTGATAACCTTTATTATTTATTTATTTATTTATTTTTTTAATGTGGTGCTGAGAATCAAACCTAGTGCCTCATATGTGCTAGGCAAACCTCTACCACTGAGCCACAACCCCAGCCCCAAGAATCAACATTTTTTACTTCTAATAAGTTAATTTCTGAAAGCAGTAATAATTGTGACTTAATATAACTGAAACATGTACAAAAAGTTTGTTTCTGGATCATGCTACTTATGAGCTCAGAGGGTACTTAGATCATTTAGACTAGCATTTCTCAATTAGGGGTAGTTTTGCTTCTATGGGACATTTGTCACTATCTGGAATCCTTCACAGTTGTCACCACCTGTGGAGGGGTTGCAACAATCATCTACCAGTTAGATGTCAGATATGTTACTAAACATTCTACAATGCAGTAAAGCCCCTCACAATAAAGAATTATCAGGCCCAAATGTCAGTAATACAGCTATTGATACATCCTGTCAGTATCTTATTGTATAGCTGAGAAGTTCCTCACAATCAATAGGAAGGAGAAGAACAATAAGGACAAGCAGAGAAAGCTATAAAGAACAGTATTTTAGAGCATGAGGTGCTCTAAAACTCTCTTGTTCCCTTAGTACTGGGAATTGAATCCAGGGATGCTCTACCACTGAGCTACATTTTCAGTCCTTTGCATTTTGTATTTTGAGATGGAGTTCCTCTAAGTTGCTGAGGCTGACCTGGAATATATGACCTCCTGCTTTAGAACTGCCTCCTTGCCAGTATCTGGGTTGTAGGCATGCACCATCTCACCAAGCTAACTAAAACTGTTTTACACACAAGAGCAATAACAGTTCTTTCCTCATTCCCTCAGTGCAGTAATGTGTCTTTATTGTTTAAAGTGATCAATATGGAGAAAAGGACACTTAGGACAGAGAGGAGAAGAAAGAGGGATAAACAAGTTAAGCTGGGTGTGGTAGTGTACACTGTAATCCCAGTGACTTAAGAGACTGAAGCAGGAGGATCACAAATTGAAGGCCAGGCTGGGCAACTGGGCAAGACCTTGTCTCAAAATAAAGTATTAAAAAGGGGTAGGGATGTAGCCTAGTATTAGAGTACCACTGGCTGGGTTCAATCCCTACTACTAATGAATGAATGTATAGCTCAGTGGTAGAGTACCCCTGGGTTAAATCCCCAGTACCACCTAAATGTGTACATACATAATTTTTTAAAAATAATGAATAATGAATGAAGCTGGTTGCGGTGGCACAGGCCTGTAATCCCAGCAGCTCGGGAGGATGAGTCAGGAGGATCGAAAGTTCAAAGCCAGCCTCAGCAAAAGCAAGGCACTAAGCAAGTCAGTGAGACCGTCTCTAAATAAAATACAAAAATAGGGCTGGGGATGTGGCTCAGTAGTTGAGGGCCCCTGAGTTAAATCCCTGGTACCAAATCGGAAAAAAAAAGGAATGAGAGAAACAAGTTTTTGTTGTTGTTGTTGTTTTGTTTTTAAAGCTATATCAAAAAGGTAACATTGTGGAGGATAAGTCAAAGTCAAAACTTTTCATTTTATTTTTGTTTTATATTTCCCAAATATCTGTGAAATTTTTTACTTACAAGATCATTCTTCCTAACCACTCTGAAATGGCTCAGATTTCATGTTTTGTTTTATTTTTTCTTTTTATCATTTTGGGGATTGAATCCCAAGGCCTTGTACTTGCTAGGCTTTACCACTGAGCTATCTTCTCCAGCTCTAATAAGTAATTTTTGACACAGCTGTATTTGACCTTCTTCAGTAGCGCCAGGTTGCCTCTAATGATTTAACTGTCATTCTTTAGAAAGATATGAGGGAAGGTTTTATGAAGTAGGCAGCATTCCAAAGTGTAATCAAAAACAGAATCTTGCCTTCATGCTTTTGATACTGATAACTTGTTTACTTTCTTACAAAGAATTTTTTTTCATTTTCTGTTACACTATATTAATTTGAAGCCTTTTGATTTGTATAATTTTGTATTTAAATTTACTTTGAAAAAAAACTCAATAAATGTTAACAATAATAAAGTGTTACTTTATGATTATTTGATTTACTAATGATTTACCTCAGTATTTCTTTATTAATCACTCCTGAATGTTAATTAGTTTTCGAAAGTATTTGAGGGGAGAAAAGTTATTTTTTAAATGATTTATGTGTAATTTCTGAAAGTCACTGTTTATGACCTTTTTTTTCTATTCTTTCTTAGAAGCTGGCAGTTATGAAATGACAAATCAACATGCAAAACAAAATGGGAAATTAGAAGAAAATCCTTCCTCTGGCAGTCCTCCAAGGACTACATTGTTGGGGACCATATTTTCTCCTGTCTTCAACTTTTTTTCACCAGCAAATAAAAATGGTATGTATAAACCATTTTCATATGGTTAAGTATTAACTATAATTTAATATTGTTAAATTATAGTTAATAAACTATGAAGTTAATAAATTATGAAGGGTTTAAACCTTCATAATTTTTAAAAAGTTTTTTTTTTTTTTTTTAAATATTTATTTATTTATTTTTGTTTTCGGCGGACACAACATCTTTGTTTGTATGTGGTGCTGAGGACTGAACCCGGGCCGCACACATGCCAGGCGAGCGCGCTACCTCTTGAGCCACATCCCCAGCCCCGTAAAAAGTTTTTTTTTAATTTTACTGCCATATTTTGTCAGCATCTTATTTGTTTTATGAACTGGTTAAAAATGTACAGTTCCTTGAAAGTATTTTTTAATTTACTGAAATAATTTGTTTTTTCTATGCTTTCATTATCTGAAAATCTAGATGATAAGACTTTGGTCTAGAGGGATAATTTTTATTTTTATTATTATTGGGGTGACTTCTATAATTCTTTTTTTTAATCTTTTTTTTTTTTCTTTAGAGAGAGAGAGAGAAATTTTTTTTTTTTTTTAATATTTATTTTTTAGTTTTTTTTTCGGCGGACACAACATCTTTGTTTGTATGTGGTGCTGAGGATCGAACCCGGGCCACACGCATGCCAGGCGAGCGCGCTACCGCTTGAGCCACATCCCCAGCCCTCTTTTTAGTTGTAGATAGACACAAACGTTTATTTTATTTATCTTCATGTGCTGCTGAGGATCCAACCCAGTGTCTCATATGTGCTAGGCAATTTCTCTACCACTGAGCCATAACCCTAGCCTGATTGACTTCTGTGTGTGTGTGTGTGTGTGTGTGTATGTATGTATATCTATATATATATATTTTTGTGTGTGTGTGTGTGTGTGTGTGTGTCAGGGATTGAACTCAGGGCGTTTGACCACTGAGCCACATTCCTAGCCCTATTTTGCATTTTATTTAGAGACAGGGTCTCACTGAGTTGCTTAATGCCTTGCCTTTGCTGAGGTTGGCTTTGAACTTGCGATCTTCCTGCCTCGGCCTCCCTAGCTGCTGGGATTACTGGTGTGTGCTACTGCGCCCTGTCCAACTTCTATAATTCTTAAAGAATATATAGCAGAGAATCCAGAAACATTTCCAGTATTCTGTGACATTACAGATTTATTAAATACCTTTAAACTGAAACCATATAATTTTTTGTAATGCAGTTTTATTATCTTTTTTTTTTCCTCCTAGTTATCTTCAATCTAGATAAATAGTAATTTGTTTTATTTGAATTAAGGTATTAATAGTACTCTAATACTATTCTTAGGTAATAAATAATACTCTAATTCAAATGAATCAAAGATTTTATTATATAAAGTCTTTACAAAAGAATCAAATTTGGGGCTGGGATTGTGGCTCAGCGGTGGAGCGCTCGCCTAGCACGGGCAGGGACCTGGGTTCGATCCTCAGCACCACATAAAAATAAAGGCATTGTGTTGTGTCCATCTACACCTAAAAAATAAATATAAAAAAAAATCAAATTTGCTTCTTTACTTTTTTGGGGGCTGGGGATACTAGAGATTTAACTCAGGGCCTCATTCATCATTTATTTTATTTTGAGACAGTCTCACTAAATTACCCAGGCTGGCCTCAAATTTAGGATCTTCATGCCACAGCCTACTAAGTACATGCCCTTACCTGGCCCCTTCTTTTCTTTTTTTTAGTATTTTAGTTGTTGACAGACTTTTATTGATTGATTGATTTATATATGATGCTGAGATTTGAACCCAGTGCCTCACACATGTAGGCAAGCACTCTACCACTGAACCACAACCTCAGCCCACCCTTCATTTTTTTTTTTTAACAGCTTGTTTACTATACTGTGTTTTTATTTATGATAGTTTATTTTTTAGGCTAGTTGAGGGCAAAGGATAGTCTTTATTTTTGATACAGTATGTGCACATGGAAAATGTGTGTTGCCTAATTACTTAAATTCCAGTCTTAATTATGTTGCTGAATAATAGTGTGTGTGTGGTGGGGGTATTTATTTTCCTGGTGGTTCTGGTGATTAAACCCAGAGCCTCACATATACTAGGCAATTGCTTTATCTTTGAGCTACATCCGTAGCCCTTTTTAATTTTGAGACAGCATCTCACTAAATCTCCCTTGTTGACCTCAAACTTGCCTGAATGCCGTTAGTGGCTGGGCCCACAGGCTTGATAATGCAAATTTTATTTTTATTTTTTTGCTTATTCATCTGTTTGGTACTAGAGATCAAACCTAGGGACACTTAATCACTCTGTGCTATATCCCCAGCCCTATCTATCTATCTGTCTATTTATTTATTTAGGGGATTGAACTTCAGAGGCACTCAACCACTGAGCCATGTCCCCAGCTCTATTTTGTATTTTTTTTAGAGATAGGGTCTCACTGAGTTGCTTAGAGCAGCAGCTTGCTTTGAACTCAAAATCCTCCTGCCTCAGCCTCCTGAGCCAACTGGGATTAAAATTTTTGAGACAGGGTCTCAATAAGTTGCTGAAGCTGGTCTCAAACTTGCATTCCTCCCTCAGCTTCCCAAGTTGCTAGGATTATAGGCATGCACAACTGTTTAACTGATAGTGCAGCTTTTGTATGTATTTATTTTAGTTGTAGATAGACACAGTGCCTTTATTTATTTTTATGTGGTGCTGAGGATTGAACCCAGTGCCTCAGACCTTGCTAGGCAAGCACTCTACCACTGAGCTACAACCTCAACCTTGGGGCAGTTTTGTTTTTTTCCTTAGTTGTAGTTGGACACAATACCTTTCTTTCTTTCTTTCTCTTTTCTTTTCTTTTCTTTCTTTCTCCCCCCCCCCCCCCCCATATATATGGTGCTGAGGATTGATCCCAGGGCCTCCCATGTGGTAGGCGAACACTCTACTGCTAAGCCACAACCCCCAGCCCGCTAGGGCAGTTTTTGAAAGGCAGAATGGGGGCTGGGGCTGTAGCTCAGTTGTAGGACACTTGCCTCACACATATAAGGCACTGCACTATATAAAAATAAATGAATAAGTAAAGGTATTGTGTCCATCTACAACTAAAAAATATTTTTTTTAAAAAAAGGCAGAATTGTATAATGTAGAATCAAGAATGTCCTGAGGAAGAAAATAATGCATATTAGTACATGAAGGGACTGTAGAATTCTTGTGCTTCTTAATCCATGAAATGGCATAATTATATTTAAGTGTTTGGAGTGTCTTGAGGATTTCCATTCATTTTAATAAATGTTTATTGAGCATCTCTAATGTTTACTGTTAGTTACTGGAAATTTAGAAATGATTGGCACATGATCCCTGGCTTCAGGGATCTTACTTTTGTTGGGCATGGTGCTGTATACCCAGCTACTTGGTAACCTGTGGCAGGAGGATTACAAGTTCAAGGCAAACTTGGGCTAATTAGCATGATCCTTTTTCCCTACAAAAATGTTTCCTTTTTATGATTAAATCAGTGTAATAAATTTTATAGGCACATTGTAGAGATACGGAACATTGAAATACTTTGAGAATGGAGTGATCCTCTGTGGTGGGTGATGGGTTTAGTGAGTCACAGAACATGTGATAGAAAAGTTGGATCTTGAAAGGTGGTAAAGAGCATTCCAGGTAGAAGAAGCAGTATGAGCAAAGGCCCCACAGCATTTAAAACAGACAGAACATTGGGTTTGAAAAGGGGAAAGGTGAGAAAGTTATGAAAAAGGCAGATTATGGTGCTAACAAAATGTTTGAACTTTATAGTCTGGGGATTGGCTGAAAGGTTTTTAATCTAGTGAAATGATGAGTCAGATTTATGTTTTATAATGATCACTTGGCAAGAATACATAGGCTAGATCCTAAAGAGACTGGAGGCTGGGAAAAATTAATAGAATTGTAGTAGTCCATGAGACTTTAGTATTAGAAAAGAGAGGAAGAGGATATAAAATGGACAAGTTTGGGGCACAGATTAGAGGTGATAGAAAGAGAGATTAAAGAAGAAGAAAGCTCCATGGACATAATTGAGTTTAATTCAAGCTGTGCTGGTCTTGAGATGTCATGAAACAACAAAATTAAAATGTATAGTAAGAGCTTTGTCATTCCAATGTTGATTTCAGATTTCTGGGTTTAAGCAGCAGACTATGCTATCATCTTGGAATCAGTGGAAGCCAGTGGAACAAATTGTTTATTTTAGTTCTGCAAACCAAGACTAGAATTTTGCGGGGAAACATTGAAGGACTGGAAAAATTAAGAGCAGCCAACAAAAGAAGACATGGAGGAAGCCAGGAGATGAGACTTAATAAAAGAGAAAGGACTGTTCAAACCCAGAGCATGGATTAAGAATTATAAAGATAGAAGAAAAGGAAATGAGCATTGAAAGGACATAACTAAGCTGACCAATTAGAAGGGCATTAGTTTCTTTGCCAAAAAGTTTCAGAGGAGCGTTCAGATTTGGAAGCCCAGTATTACTGAGTTAGAATAATAAAATGGAGAGTAAGAAAGGAAACAGCAAATGTAGATTACTTTTATGAAAAGCGTTGAGTGTGAATGAAAAACTAGAGAAGTCACACAGTCTCCATCAATAGTTTGTAAGAGCCAAATATTTTTGTATTTTATGCCTCAGGGAAGTATCTAATATAGGAAAAAGTTGAAAACTGAAAAAAAGAGGAAAGTGGAGAAAGTTTCTAGAGATCATTGACAGAGCTGGGATCAAAAGAACAGGTAAAAGGATTTAAACTGAAATAGGATAGGGAGACATTTTTTCCTAATGCTGGAGGGAAAAAACTCCAAAGGTTAACATACAGAAGTTTAAGGAAGAAAGACTTGATATTTGGTAGTTACAATTTTTTCTTTGAAAGAGGGGATTGTTTTATTTATAGGGGTGGTACTAGTGGCGGGGACTTGAAGAGAATACTGAAGGGTTAAAATGTTGCTCTGGGAAGGAGCTGAGACAAAAAAGTGCTGCGCAGCATGCTAGAGGCCTAGTTAAGATTGGGGGATTTCATCTGGAGTATGACCAGACTTTAATAATTGTATTGTTTCCTTTAGTAGTCTGAGAAGCCTGTCATAATAATTCAAGAGGGATTTCTTGATTTATGTCAGTGGAAGGACACGGAAACAAGATTGCTGAGAGCATTGGCTTGCAAGTGGGTTCAGTGATATACTATGAAGTCTAGGTGAGAAGAGTGGGGAAGAAGTTGATGAGTGATGTGTTAGGATGGATCCTCAAGCATGATGATCACATATAATGGGAATAAGATAGATAATTGGAAGATTACAAGGTTGCAGTAAGATTAATGTTAATTTTATATTAAACCTAATATTAATTTTAGGTTTCAGAGATGAACAGTTTCTTAGTTTTAATATCCAGCTTATTGCCTTGGTAATAATGGCTAAAGAACAGTTTGAAGATATTTAAAACTCAAGAAAGTAAAAACTTTGAGGATTAGTCATTGGATGAGTCACAGGCATCATTTGTAATAAAAAACTAGATAAGATACCATGTTTATTAATAGAGTGATGATGAACTAATAGCTAGGTGTTGAACTTCTGTGACTGAGAGGATCCTGGTAGTATATGTTAGATGAGAGCATTGAGAATTAGTGAAAAGTTATATTAGCCACATGATGTTAGTCTCAAAGAGCAGGTTCCACCCCCAACCCCTCTATTAGTGGAAAAATCAGTCATCTGTTAGTAGGACTGGAGATAAATTCTGATTCAATTAGTATATTTGGCATGGGAGTATAAAGAACATTGAGTGCATCAGGAAAATAAATGCTTTTAGGAAAGAAGTTAAATTTAAAGCAATAATGCAGAGAATACAAGGGAATTGTGAATGTTGGAAGTTTTGTTATTTTTGTTGTTTAAAATGACATTTGAAGGATTTCAGAAATAGAATGGGATCATTTCATTGTGGAAGAAGAACTGGATGATTTTGTTATTGAGATGGTATTTTGTTGAGTAATTATTTTGGTGTCTTAATAAAAAGGTTCTTATGGTTAGGGGAACATTTAGCTTATTCTTGGATAAGTGCCACTGGTTGAAAAATTACAATTCCCTACATTGGCTAGGATGCTTGTATTTGAATTAGAAGAATTTAAGTTGTTTGGGAATAATGAACATATATGAAATGCCTGGCACATAGTATGTTCTTAAAAAATGGTATATGCTTTAGTGAAAAGAAGTTCTAAATTATGACTCTTATTTGAGTATAAATAGGTGTTTCTGAACTATTTGAAAGTTAAAAAAAAAATGTGTTCATCGGTGTGGTGACACATGCCTATAATCCCAGTGACTTTGGAGACTGAGGCAGGAGGACCACAAGTTCCAGGCCAGCCACAGCAACTTAACAAGGCTTTGTTTCAGAATAAAAAGGACTGGGGATGTGGCTCAGTGGTTAAGCACCTATAGGTTCAATCCCTGGCACCAAAAAAAAAAAAAAAAAAAAAAATTTCCCCCCATTTAAAAAAAATTAGTGTATAATTGTATGTTGTATTGGGGTTCATTTTGACAAAATCAAACATGCAAGGAATTTGATTTCAATCACCATTCCCCCATCTTACTCTTTTCTCCCTCTATTCTTCTTCCTCTCTTCTACTGAGCTTCCTTTTGTTCCTTTATTTATTTTTGATTGGTACTTTATACATATACATAAAAGTGAGATTCCCTTTGGCACATTTATGTATGTATATAACATGATTTTGTTAAATTCATTCCTTATCTCTTCCCCTTTCCTTTCCTTCCTCCCTCTCGTTCTTCTGTACTTCACTGGTCTTCTCTATATACTTGTGATATCCAACACCCCCTCACCTCCCAACTGCCTTCTTTCCCTTATTTTTCTCTAGCTTCCACATATGAGAGAAAACATTCAACCCTTGATTTTTTCTAAGTGTGGCTTATTTCACTGGGCATGATTTTCTCCATTTTCATCCATTTACTAGCAAATGCAATAATTTCATTCTTCTTTATGGCCAAGTAAAACTCCGTTGTGTATATATCACATTTTTTTGATCCATTCATCTATTGACAAGCATCTGGGTTGATTCCATAATTTGGCTATTTTGAATTGTGCTGTAAGTATATAAACATTAGAGTATTTATTGCTATAGTAATTACTGCTGGTTTTAGTCCTTTTGGATAAATAGCAAGGAGTGGGATAGCTTGAGTTACATGGTGGTTCATAAACATTCTTTTTTATTTCTTTTCATTTCTCTGGTTGTATGCGATGTAGAGTCACACCGGTACAGTCTTACATGTACCTAGGGTAATGATGTCCTTCTTATTCCACCATCTTTTCTGCCTCCATACACGCTCCCCACTTCTCCCTCCCCTTTGCCCAATCAAAGTTCTTCCATTTTTTCCATCATCACCCCCCACCCACACACATGGATAAGCATCCACTTATCAGAGAGAACACTTGGCCTTTGGTTTTTTGGGATTGGCTTACTTTGCTTAGCATGATACTCTCCAACTCCATCCATTTACCTGCAAATGCCATAATTTTATTCTCTTTTAATGCTGAGTAATATTCTATACTATAGCTTTTTTATCCATTCATCTGTTGAAGGGCATCTAGGTTGCTTACAGTTTAGCTATTGTGAATTGAGCTGCTATGAACATTGATGTAGCTGCATTGCTCTAGTATGCTGATTTTAAGTCCTTTGAGTATAAATCGAGGAGTGGGATAGCTGGGTCAAATTGTGATCATAAACATTCTTGATCCTTATTTTTTGTGAAAAGTGTATAGAAGACTTTCTAAAGGCTGTATCCTTAGCTTTGTTCCTATATAAAGTATTAGTCCAAATAAATTACCTAATGATAATTGCATTTAATTTTTCTAAATATTTGAGTTCTTCAGTGATGATAGTACACTGAATTCTGATTGCAGGAACGTCAGGATCAGATTCCCCAGGACAGGCTGTGGAAGCTGAAGAGATAGTAAAACAACTTGATATGGAACAGGTGGATGAGATCACTACCAGTACTACAACATCAACTAATGGAGCAGCTTACTCAAATCAAGCAGTACAAGTGAGGCCATCGATAAATAATGGTTTAGAAGAAGCAGAAGAAACAGTTAATCGTGATATCCCACCCCTTACAGGTGAAGAAAATTCATTTTTTATGTGTCTTCATTAGTAGTTTATAAAAATATAGTATATCAGATTTTTTTCTTGAATGGGCAGATTAAATGCATAAACTTTTCTTCCTTGAAGTTAAAAAGAAAATTAAATTGGAAACAAAATTTTATCCCAGAAATCCAAAGTCATTATTTGCACTAGTCTTGGACCCTAGGTCTGCAGTCCCTGCCTAGAGGCAGTGTCACAATTTTAGATTTATTGCATACCTGAATGATGTACCCCCAAGGGGGATGTTTCTGGATCTCTCCCTATACCCAAATTTTGCAGTCTTATGGATCTTTATAAACTTCATTAACATAATTATTACTTTCTTAGCCAGTAGCCATTGAAATGTAGAAACTTAATGCATCTGAGAGGTAGATATACCTAGTATAAGATCAAATTGTGTTCCACCATTCCTGAAAGTGAAGTAAAATTGAGGATAGTCAACTTCTTTCTGGGGCAGACATTTTATCTTAGATTTGTTTTCTGTTCCTTATGGTGCCAGATACTTGAGAGACCCAGTAAATGTATATTGGTTAAGAAGAATGGTTTGGCATAAAGAAGTAGAATAATGTACTTCTCTCATATATAAAGTGGAAACTTTAAACAAGCAAACAAACAAAAAATACACACACAATAAAACAGCAGAAAACATTTAAAGAAAAAAAAATGCACAGAATTGTGAATCTTCTATATATTAAAACTCATTAGCCAGGTGCAGTGGCGCACGCCTGTAATCCCAGCAGCTCAGGATGCTGAGGCAGGAGAATCACAAGTTCAAAGCCAGCTTCAGCAACAGCGAGGTACTAAGCAACTCAGTGAGACCCTGTCTGTAAAATAAAATACAAAATAGGGCTGGAGATGTGGCTCAGTGTTTGAGTGCTCCTGGGTTCAATCCCTAGAACCCCCTGCCTCCCAACAATCAATCACTTATTAATACCAATATAAAGAGAAAAGCACCAAAAGAGAGGCAAGACTTAATTTCATGGAGCCAAAAATTCTTAATTGTACTGTTACGCCCAGAATTTAAGAATGATACTAAATCTAACAAGCAGATCAACAAGGTTACGCACAGATTAACTTACCTTTGACCAATGTTTTCATGCTGATTACATTGCCCAGGGTTATAAATCTAATGAATGGTAAAGGATAAAGTCCAGGACTCTTGGCTATAATAAGTCTTTGTATTTATTTTTTATGACAACTGTGAAGGTGGAAAAGTGATTTCTGTAACCTTAATTTCTGGATAGGAAAAGTAAGACTTAATTTATGAACACCTATTTTTTGTGATGGGAATTATTGATAATGATGAATAAGGTATACACTCCTTGACCCTAAAGAGTTCATGATCTAATTGAAGAGCCAGGTAAGCAGAAAAATTACCATGTGGTGAGTGCTATTACAAATAAGTAAGCAAGATGATGTGGTGGCACATTGCAGTTACTCTGGGATGATGATGATAAGAGAACAGAGCCAAAGAAGACAAGAAGGTAGCTTATTACCATTTTAAAGCTAAAAATTGTGTTTCAAACTGTCTCAAGACCCCAAAGTATCATTTGGAATGTTAACAAACTTCAAAGCAAACTTAATAACATATATATCTAACTCTACAATCAAAGGGGAAGAATTACTACCACAGCTTAATGGAACCCAGAGTCTCTTGAGAGAGTTTGAAACACAGTTTTCTTAGTTTTAAAATGATAAATGGGGTATGTCTGTAGCCCCTCCCTTATACTCTCGAGGCTTAGGTGGGAGGATCACTTGAGCCCTGGAATTCTGGACCAGCTTAGGCAACTTAGACTTCATCTCAGAAATAAATGAATAAATGGTAGTAATAATAATACAGGGTTTTGAAGGCTAAATACAGTGAAATATGAAAGATGCATAGTATGTTGGAATTCAGTATATGTTCTATACTTTCTCTGAGGTCAGTAGGAATTTGGAATAGTGAAGTAGTTGGAAGATACATTTTTCATTATCCCCTTGTGTTAGTGAACTATTTCAGGTATAAATTGTCACAGATAAATAAAAATTCTGCTTTACATCTTATGTTATTTGAACAAACACATCAAAGTGACTTGTCTAAGAAAGCCTAAATACATAATTGTAAAAAAGGGTTAATTTTTTGTCCTGAAACTTACCCTCTAACACTTGATTTCTAAGGATTACAGACACTTTTATTGGGTTCCACCTAAAATCGTTGCCTTTGAGACATTACTTGTTTAGATTGTAAGGAACAATCTTCCTCTCCTTCAGTGTAAGTCACAGTTATTGTCTTAGGAAATTCTTAGCATGTTTCTATAGCATAATGTTTTTTAATTGATATAATCTTAGTTTAGACAGAATGAATTATATAGAATATAATTGTTCCTTAATTATTTTAAAGTTGTAAGTTAGAAGTAAAATATAAAGCTATTTTTTTTCTACATGCAGCAACATGTAGACATGATACATTACTTAACCATTTTTTGGGGGGGGGTGGGCGGGCAGTACTTGGGATTGAATCCATGGCCTTGCACATGCTAGGCAAGCGCTCTACCATGACCTGCATCCCCAACCTCATTACTTAGCTTTTTAAGATCATAGATACAACCTTGAGATTCCTGGGAAAATGTACATAAGTCTTCGTGGGGTTCACGGACTTTTTAAAAATTATTTTTGACACGTGAAAACTGATGTAGTACCATGCAGTGTTTCAATACATATATATATTGTGTAATGTTTACATCAGGTTAAACGTCTATCTTCTTAAACATTTATTATTTCTTGATGGTGAAACATTCAAAATCCTTTTTTCTAGCTTTTGGAAGTGGACAGTACTTACTGTTATCTACAGTAACCCTACTGTGCAGTAGCATACCATTACCTCTCACTCCTCTCTAACTGTAACTTAGTACCCATTGATCAATTTCTGCCCAACTCCTGCATCCACTGATCTCTGGTAACCACCATTCTATTATCAACTTCTATGGTACTTGTCTTTCTGTACCTGGCTTATTTCAGTTAATGATCTGCAGTTCCATTCATGTTGTTATAAATGAATGCTTGGACTTCTTAAAGACTGTTCATGAATCTCAGATTTTAAAACTATGTTTGGGGCTGGAGATGTAGCTCAGAGGTAGAGCACTTGCCTAGCATGTGTGAGGTCCTGTGTTAAAGCCCCACTGCTACCACAAAAACAACAACAACAAAAGATGTAACCTTGAAAACAAGTGGAAAATTCTGAATAAAATTAAATATGTCTATAACCCGAAACTTAAAAATAAATAAGTAAATAAAGACCATGGTTGGATCTGTTGTTAGCATATATTTATTGACTACCTATATGTACAAGGCACTTTGTGGTATAGTTTTGATACAAAAACACCATAAGAACTTTATGGTTATCACATACAATCACTATCCAGTTAGAAACTGGATTTTTGTGGGGTATTATTTTTAATAAGTAGTAATTTTTTTCTACTAGTCATGATATTTGTTATTCTATCTGTAGTGATAGGTTTTCTCCTTTGAATGTAGTTAAATATATGTTACTAAATTTGCTTTAAAATGCTGTGTAGTTACAAGTTAACTACAAGTAGTTACAAGGTACTTTTGTCTTTAATCTTATATATTCAGAGCCTCAGGAAGATCTTATATAGAAACAATAAAAATGCATATTTAAAGGAAGCATTGAGTGTGTAAAAGTAACATCTTCTTTTCATTTTATTAAATAGCACCAGTAACTCCAGAGAGTGGTTATTCATCAGCCCATGCAGAAGCCACCTATGAAGAAGACTGGGAAGTATTTGACCCGTGAGTTATCTGGTTTAAAATTTTTTCTCTTTACTTAATAACTTTTCAAGTTTATGTTGATGCAAAAGCTGGCACTTTCAGTAGAAACCTTAATTTGGGGCTGGGGATGTGGCTCAAGTGGTAGCGCGCTCGCCTGGCATGCGTGCGGCCCAGGTTCGATCCTCAGCACCACGTACAAACAATGATGTTGTGTCTGCCAATTACTAAAAAATAAATATTAAAAAAAAAAAGAAACCTTAATTTGAATTTTGATTTTTATCCTGGGCTAGTATTACATGGTAGAATACTCTCTTGTGATGCTGAGCAGCAAACTGTAGTTCCCGATCAGCCATGTGATCATGAGGGTAAATAATTGATATTTTGCATTTTACGTTGTTGCTAAACATCAAAGTTTGACCTTTTAGCTATATTAAATGATTTTCAACTTAAGATGCATTTATTGGGATGATTATAGTGACACTCTCCTGTAATCTTGGAGACCACAAGGCAAGAGGAATGCAAGTTCAAGGTCAACCTGGACAACTGAGTGAGACCCTGTCTCCAAATAAAAGATTTTTTAAAAAGCCAGGAATGCTTGGGGCTGGGACTGTGGGTCAGTGGTAGAGCACTCACCTAGCATGTGTGAGGTGCTGGGTTTGAACCTCAGCACAGCATAAAGATAAATAAATAAAGGTATTGTCCATCTACAACTAAAAAGTAAAGATATTTTTAAAAAAGAAAAAGAAAAAAAGCAAGGAACCAGTGGTAGAGGACTTGCCTAGCTCAAGTCCTGGGTTCAACCCCCAGTAACCAGTGTACACAGTGGGTTTTAGAGAGGGAATCTGATAGTGAGGAGCATCTGTTTTAGGAAGAGCATGTGATTTCTAGGTATTAATATCTTTACTGAGACATGGAGATATTAATTTGTATATTTTCACTTTTTCTTACATGTTTTTACTGGGTTAAATGGGCTTTATTAAATATTTTTAAATGTACTAAATTTAATAATATGCTTTATGTTTATAAAAATAGAAATATTAAACTTTTCTTAAAATTTGATTTATAGCTATTATTTCATCAAACATGTCCCACCACTGACAGAAGAACAACTAAATAGGAAACCTGCTCTTCCATTGAAAACAAGAAGCACACCAGAATTCTCCTTAGTTTTAGACCTGGTAAGTGTATTATCTGTAAAGGAAGAGAGAATAAAGGAGTTAAATTCTTTTTTAAAGTAACAGTCCAAAACACTGAAAATACAAATGAATAATAATGAGTAGCTATCACACTTAAAATAATGACGTCCTGGGTTTCTGGAATGTTCTTTTTAAGTATAGTCTAATGCTAGGGTTCCACGTTTGGTTGGGATCAAGTATCCTTTGAGAATAAGTCACATTTTTAATTTTTGTATTTAAATGAGTTTTCTCCTCCATATTCCTGAGACCCTTGTGATTTGTTATTTGTTTTTCTGATGCTGGGGATGGAACCCAGGGCCTCAGTTATGCTAGGAGAGTATTTTACCACTAAGCTACATACTCAGCCCCATGATTTGTTTTTCTGTCTTCTAAGAAGTTCTAATTTCATTTCATTAGAATTGTGCCTATATTTTAGATTTCCTCTTTCTTGTCAGGCTCTCAAGTTTCCCCAAAGGACCAAAAATAATTTAGGTCTCATTGAGTTAATATTATCTGATACCAATAAACTTTTCACCATGGGATTGGTGGTGCACACCTGTGATTCCCAGCGACTCAGGAGACTGCGTCAGGAATCCCAGTTCGAGGTCAGCCTCAGCAACTTAGCAAGACCTTGTCTCTAAACAAAAAATTTTAAAAGGGATGGGGACAGGGGCTGGGGAATATAGCTCAGTCGGTAGAGTGCTTGCCTAGCATGCACAAAGCCCTGGGTTTAATCCCCAGCACCACCAAAACAAACAAATAAACAACAAAAGGAACAGAGACATAGCCCTCCCCCCAAAAAAGTGTCAAAAGCATAATCTCTTAATGCTGGTGATGAAAGATTTTAATATGTTCTAAATGTGATTTAAAAATTTGTATTTTAAGAGCCAGGCATGGGCTACTAGGGAGGCTGAGGCAAGAGGATCACTTTAGCCTAGGAGTTCAAGGTTAGCCTGGGCAACAGAGCAGGACCACCATCTTTAAAAAAACAAAAACCCCCAAACCTATCTATTTTAGAGTACTAGAAAAGCTAGTAAAACAGAATATTTCATTTATTTTGCTAATACAATTTAATATGTAGTCATCACATTTACTATCTGCTTACATACATTTTCATGATATTTAGAAGCAATAAAAAGAGAAAGATGTATTTTTGAATTATGATTCATTTAGATTTGATATGCAAGTTAAAGATGAAAATGAAAAAGATTTTACTATTAGGAGCTGATGCGGTTATGATATTAAGTTTTCCCACATTATTTTGGCTTCAGTGTAAAAGAAAGATTGAGCATAAATAATCTTAGAGAACTAGATGGAGAATGATCAGATCTTAATAGGCTATAGTTGAAGCAGTAGAATTAGTTATGATTCATTTATAGGAAAGAGAAATCATTTTCTTTTAAGAATAGTTTGTATTTCAAGTGACATCGAACAATTTACAGTGACTTCCAGGGTAAATGATTGAGAACCATTCTGAAACTATAGAAGGACTGTGATTTATTAACCATGCCTGTAAAGGGCACGAAACAGTGGAGAGTAGCATGCCAATTATTACTTTAGACAGTTTTGTCTATAAAAAGAAATAGAAAAACATGCATTTTATGAGATACTGAAAAATGATGACTATTCCTTCAATATTTGTTTAAAAATTTGAAGTGTGATGGTAAATCATATACAATCATAGAAGTAAAGCTTTGCTGCAGTTGGGTACAATGAATCAAATGCATTCTGCTGTCATATATATCTAATTTAAATAAATAAATAAAAATTTAAAAAGAATACATTTTCTTAAAATGCTAACAGCAATACCTTGAAATGTGTGCTGTGTTAAGCATGTACTTTTTGCCTCCTCATAGTTTACCTTTTTTTGTTGTTGTTTTGTTTTTAGTTGTAGATGGACATGGTATCTTTATTTTTGCTTATTTATTTTTATGTGGTGCTGAGGATTGAACTCAGTGCCTCACATGGGCTAGGCAAGCACTCTGCCACTGAGCTACAGCCCTAGCTCTCATTGTTTAACTTTTAAGTTAAAAAAAAAAAAACACTAGTGCTGGGGCTGGGGCTCAGTAGCAGAGTGCTTGCCTAGCCCATGTGAGGCTAGTTAATAAGATGTGGAATCACAAACTTTGATCATTGTTGTTTAATTTTAATTGATGTTAACCCATTTGGCTCATTGGCCCAGAAATGGAACACCTACAAAAACTTGAATTGAGCAACAAATATACCACTTATGGTAACTTTGACATAATATTTGAATTTTTGTTATGTTCTCAGAGATGAAAACTTGGAACTTGATAGTTAATAAACACATTGAAAATTTAGAGGGTAGTCATTAGTAGCTTTTTTTTGTTGTTGTTGTTGTTAAATGCTTTCGTTAATACTAACAGAAGGTTTGTTTTTTGTTTTTTGTTTTTTGAAGCATTCAAGATTTAAGGAATGTAAATATTTGCATCTATCTTACATTGAACAATCCTTACTTTCTTATTCTCTTAATGAGAAAACAGGATTTGGGAATAAAAGATGACAAGTTTTCATTGCCTGCTATTTAGTTACATAATGTGGATGAAATGTATTCATGATAAAAACATCTATTTCTAAAGTAAGATTCTTTATATATAGTTTGACGATAAGGAGCTGTATGAAATATATATGTATTTGTGTGTGTGTAGAGAGAGAGAGACTTCTATAGGTATATATATAGATAGAGATATACATACATATTTAAAAAAATAGATTTTAAACTTGCATTTGCTAATTATATTAAGAAAAAAACGTGTTTTCTAACAAAGTTGGCAGCTGCAGAACTCAGAGCAGTGGTTATCAAACTTAAGCATGCATCAGAATTTCCTGAATTGCTTTTTAAAACAAAGATTGCTAAGGCCCTCCGCCCCCTGAGTTTATGAACCTTCAGAAATAGAGCTGGAGAATTTTGTTTGCATTTGTTACTAGTTTCCAGATGTTGCTGATGCCTTTTATTGGTCCAGGAACTGCACTTGAAAACTATTGACTTTAGAAAATCTTATCTTAATAATAATTATTATATACATAAAATTCCACATATGAAATAGATGCCTTAAAAAATGTTTTGGGTAATCATTACTACATAAAATTATCATTTGAAGGGTTTTTAAAAATCTTATTTCATTTATTGAATATGTTTTTTATTTTAAGGATGAAACACTAGTGCATTGTAGCCTAAATGAGCTAGAAGATGCAGCACTTACTTTTCCAGTCCTTTTCCAAGATGTCATTTATCAGGTAATTTTTAAATTTTTAACTTGATTTTTGGTCTGTTAGGGTAACATTCTGAGTTTTAAAAAAAAAAATTTTGTGTGTGTGTGTGTGTTTGATGTTCAATGTGTTTTTCTATAGACTTCCTGATTGATTTCATCAATATTTTAGTGGCCTATTAACACAAAGTACCATCATGTTAGATAGTTACATAAAACAACATTAATTTGTTACCAAAAAAATACTAACTTTTCTTACCCATTGATGTCTGCTAGATTTGTAATTTATTTGCCAGCAGGTGGAGGCAGGAGCACTGACATAGTTCCCCAAGAGGACTTTGCTAGGTTAACACCTGGTGTTTTTTCAAAAATTCAATTAATAAAAAGAAAACTCATTCCTTGTTGGTCGTTTTATTTCCTATAGTAATGTGTGCAAAATTGTAGTTTGTTAGATCTACTTTATGTTAATCACAGAATTCCAGGACACTCTTCTAGTATGGGTATAAACATTTCTCTCATCTGTGCTGATGGACAGGTAACAGTGCAAAATATATATATCATTAAGATTTCACCATGGATTATATGTGTTGGCAAAATTTTTTTTTATTTTAAGATTCTCTCTATTTTAAGAGTGAATTAATTAAATAAGCAAATATACTTGAAAAACTACAAAGTACCTTTTTATGATGGCAGTTGTATTATTAATTAGCATTAACTTTATATGTACTATATGTTGAAAGATGGGGGAAGTGTTAAAGAGTTTGTAGTCTTTCAAGAGGAAGCCAACCCGGATTAAAAATTCACGGATCATTTACCATGTAGATAATGAAAAGGTCTTTATGGTTGTTTATGTGCTCTTAATAGGCAGTTATAATGTGGTCATAGTTTTCTTGGCTGATTTTAGTTGCTATCTCATAGGAATCATGAAATTCCTCAGCTATATAGAAGTTTGTGCTTCAGGGCTACTTTACCAAATACTTCATCTGGTAATGAATCATAAGAAGATTTATTTTTGCAGTAATTGTCAGGTCTAATTTAACCTAGATAGGTGTTACAGGTGTGATAATACCTGAATACCATATATACCTTCCTTTTATGTAAACTGATTTAAGTCCTGGTATATAATCAGAGGTTGAGCAAAATATGCATAAAAATGGGATTTTAAGATCTTTCTGTTCCTTTTGAATTGGTTATTGGTTTCAGGCAAATCTTTTTTTAAGACATTATACATTGCTTTTGTTTAGGTGGACTTCAAGGACAGTAGTCATATGGCAAATACATATAAGTATAGCAACAACTTAAGTTTTCTCTTTTTAGCTTAATAACCTTGTTGGTGTTTTGTTGGGTTTTTTTTCTTTCTTTCTTTTTTTTTTGGTAAGATTGCACAGTGGCTTTAGCGGTTTGAATTTGGAAGGGAAAGCTATTTGAAAAATAGGTAAATAATGATTTTTAGATGACTCATTAAGCTTCTAGATTTGAAATTTATTTCATACAGATAGATGGCTTTTGGTCTGTTTAGGTAGTATTGATAGTGAAATAAGAAACCTGGAAAGGAGATAATTTGGTTCTTTTCAGTATGATCATATAATTGAACTTTTTTCTTATTTCCACCATTTCTGCTTTAACTCTTCTTTTTAAAAGTTCTTATTTCATGTGGATCTGGATAGTTGTTGTTGAATAAAAGGCTTATAGGAGTACATATGACTAATAGTTTAAAAAATTATGTATGTACTGAATGTCTCTGTGGAATTCTAAGAAATATTTTTTGTTATATATTTTTAGTTACACTTTCTGAAATTGAAAGATAAATAATCTAAATAACAATGAGCAGGAAGTTTGAATCTTAGAAGCTATAGAGATTATTGAATTTTAATATTATGACTAATTTACTACATCAAGGACAGGGTTTAGTTCCCCTTTCGTAAATTTTTGAGGATGTCCATAGTTAACATTGGGTACATTCCTTTGGATTTCTGGTGTTGGTATGGCCATTCTGTCTGCTTTTTTAAAATAACTGAAGAAATCTTTGGGTTAGGGTTCCCCCAGTTTTTTCAGACCAGCAAGCTCCCTTTAAACAGGGAATGATGTCTTTTAAAATTTCAGTGGTGTTGTCTCCATCTACTGGCAAAGAAGAAATATACACAAGGGTCTGAGATGATCTAAGAGATTTTGGAGAAACCACATTATTAGGTAAGATGTAACTTACATATTTAACCACTGTACTGTAATGTGGCCCACTTAAAGGTAGAAACCTGTAAAGTACTGTATATACTCTTATTTAAAGAATACCTTATTGAGGTAAAATTTAAATGACATAAAATTAACCCTTTTTCAGTAAATAGTTACCTGGCAGTTATCTGTTTCCTCTTTAATATGTCAGTTCCATAGCATTTACACCCACATGCATGCATGTGCACATGCACACACTCAAACATATACTCTCAGTTAAAATAGGATCAACTTATCTAGGCCAGATAAAGCATCCTATTGGGACTTCTATTTTCTTTTTGTGGTAAGTTTGTTATGGTTTACCTAATTTTAATTCTACATTTTCTTTCATTTCAAAACAATTAAATGTAAATATATCTTAATAATTGTCTATCAGGAGTTGGCAAACTTCCATAAAGGGCCAGTAATAAATATTTTAGGTTTTGTATGTCTGTTGCAGCTACTATTTCTGCCATTACAACATGAAAGTAGCCAGAAACAAAAAGTATGGCTGTATTCCAGTAAAACTTTATTTATAAAAATATACTTATGCTGGATTTGGCCAGTTGGCCTGTATACTGACCCATGGTATAATAATTATGAGAGTATATACAGTAAATTTACATATTGAGATTCTAAGTGGAAGCAAGTAATCAAATGTTCATCAAAATTCTTGTTACTGTATATAAAAATTTTAAATTAGATCCACAGAAATCTGGTTGTGGGCTTTTCTAGTTGGATTTTTTTTTTTTTCCTTAGATCAAAACTTGAGGGAATTTTTGAGGTAGTCACTACTGAACATTTAAAGATTGCCTGACTCATACTACTCGTCTTTTGATTGATAAGTTTATTCAACTTGGTTAATGTAGGTCTTAGAATTCTTTCGCAGGTAGATTATTGAATTCTAAATTTAGTATTACTTTAATTCCATTTGTCAGGGGATAAAAACATAAATGATCCATCCAGAGTAAAAGTTAATATGTTATTACTGACACTATACAAAATAGACAGATTATAGTTTGTATTCATGGAGAAAAGTCACTTGCAAGAACTGACCTTTTCAAATGAGGATATGGCACTCACAAAGGCAAAGTGTGTACAGAATTTTGTTTGAATTGGTATTTTTTAAAATCTTTTCCTAAAAGTTTGTTTTATAATTAGTTATTGGGAAAACATTTATTCATAAAATGGTTCAAATACATGTGATACCTGGAAAAACAAGTGCCTGATCACTTCCAGTGCACATGTTTAATCTTTATATTTTGTTTATATTGACACATTATCAGGAAATCCATCTCATGGTGTTACTTAGTTAAGAGGTCTCCACTGTATTTAGTTTCTGTTCCTGCAGATCCACCAATTCAAGACTCTAGGTCATCTCACTCCCTCTTCCATCCAGAAGATGACTTCTATCCACAAGCAGGACTGAATCAAAAGACATTTTTCACTTAGCTCTTGAGCTGAAACACCTCCTCAATGACCTTCCTCTGTCTCCATCAAGAACTGGAGCTCAGTTTTTTGAAGATGTAATAGAGCTATTCAGCCCAAACGTGGCTGATTGAAGACAAAAAGAAGATACCTCATATGTTTGACCACAGTGCAGACAAACGTAACTGTGCTGTCCAACTCCTCATTGTGTAAAGTATGGCAGGGGCAATTGATTTTTGACTCTGTTCACCAATAAGACTTTAGCCAGTCAGTGGCTTTTGAAGATCAGTCAAATCAACAAAACTTTGGGTCAGCTGTCCAGAAATCAGATTGTGGTAAGCACTCAAGGAGAGATAGGACCATGTAGGGAGCTACTTTTAAAGGATGCTTTGTTTTATGCTAGAGATGGCTTTTATGGGAAAAGTTGAAGGGACAGGTGGGTGGAGAACTTCATGATTAGCAAAACTTAGCCTTTTCTTATTTTTAGTGTCTTGGAAATCTTACAGTTTAGGATGATTTTCATACCATTGAACAAGAGAAATAGAGCTTCAGTGGCTTCTGTCTCTTCTCTGCAGCCTTTCATAGAAAAGTCAGATTTGTTTTTTCTTCATAAATGGAAAAAATCATTTAAATGAAGAACTTTGTAGTAAATACCTAGTTTAATTTTGTCTTCTCCCTAATTCTGACTTAATAGAGTCATTTTGTTGAGTTTCATAAAGCATAATTTTGTTAAATAATTTAAAGTAGTATTTCACTGGGAACAGTGGTGCATATCTGTAATTCTAGTAACTCAAGAGGTTGAGGAAGGATTACAAGTTTGAGGCTAGCTTTGGCAGTTTAGTGAACCCCTACCTCAAAATAAAATAAAAAGGGGCTGAGGATGTAACAAGTTTAATCTCTGTTATCCCTACCCCAAAAGTAGTATATGTATTTGTGCCTTAAATATAACATTTGGAGTCATGGATACTTATTATTTGAGGATAATATTTTAGCTGATGAGTAATAGTATTTCAGTAATTAATTGCAAATATTAAAATTAAAAATTCTATTTTTAGTAGTATTTTAATAATTTTAAAGCAACTTTCCCATCCTTATAAGTATGGTTAGTCATTTGGTACTAATTTTTTCATCCTAATTATTAATTTACAGGTTTAAAAAGATACAAATAAAACTTTAGTTTTCTTGGTTTTGTTGTTTTTGTTTACCATCCCCCCTACCAATCCACAATGCTGAGGATTGAATTCAGATGTGCTATACTACTGAGCTACCTTCCCAGCCCTTTTATTTTGAGAAGGGGTCTTACTAAGTGTCATGGCTGGCCTAGAACTTGCAGTTCCTTCTGCCTCAGCTTCCTGAATTGCTGGAATTATAGGCGTGTGCCACCATGACCAG